GATACAGATCCCACCAGAAGAGAAGGCCCGCTTCCTCCCAGGAACAGCGGAACCACAGGACTGGAACCACCTGCAGTTGGGCTGGCCCTGGGACTCCCAGCCCACGCACACTAAACATGTTCATGACTTCCTCATAGGAAAAAGAGTGAAAAAGGCAGTCACTGTTAAAGAAAAGATAAAAAGAGGGAACTATGCCTAGATTATAAAGAAATCTGGCCATAAACTCATGGTCAGATGATTTCACCACGGGTGTCAAGTCTACTCAACGGGAAAGACCGTCTCTGCCTGGTGGCCCTGAGCAACTAAATCTCCACAAGTGAACGGAGGACCCTGAATTAGCACCTCACACCATACAAACAGAAACAACCCAACTGGGGGCCAAGCTCTACAACCTGCAGGATGGAAGTAATGCTTCAGAACCTCTAACAACAAATGCTTGGATTCAGCCCTAAAGTGCAAGCAATCGGACGTAAGACCTCATCAAATACTTCTCTCCTTTCAAGGCTTTATCTAGAAAGTGAAAAGACAACCCACAAACGGGGAGAAAACTTTTGGAAACCATGTATCAAACAAGATTTAATATCCAGAATACATAAAGGACTTCAAAATGGAAAAACAGTAATAAAACAAACAAACAAAAAAAACCAACAACAAAAAACGGGCAGAGGATGGGAATAGATATTTCATCAAAGAAGAATGCAAACTGTCAGCAAACACACACATACAACACAAGAGGTTCAAAGTGTCAATCACGGCCCTCCCCCTCATTCCGCATGGTCAGAGCCGACCCCTAGCTGAACCCCAGCGCCTGTGCAGAGGCTGGGAATCTCATGGGAAGAGTCTGCCCATCCCCCTCCCACAGAGCAACTGGTGGGTCTGAGTCCTGCACCTTGAGCTGCAGCCCAACTCCTGACCACCAAGCTATCAGTGCTCCCTTCTTTCGGGTGTCCGGGAAATGCAAAGAAAAATCTCAGAAGACACTATTCCTATGTCTAGGACACCAACATCTGATCCAGTAATTTCTCTTCAGTTAATGTTGATCACAGTAAGCTGCTCACAAAATTCTCTATAAAAAGGATAGTTTTAAGGGAGCTCTGGTGGCCTAGTGGCAAGACACTGCACTGCAATCCCAGAGGGACATGGTTCAAATCCCCAGATGCTCTGCTGGAGAAGGAAGGAGAAATCTCCTCCTGTACCAGTCAGATCTGATTTGACGGTACACGTAAAAATAATACAATAAAAATTAAAAATAAAAAAAAAGATAGGAGTAAATCAGAGCCCAGCAGATAAGGAGGGTGTTCACCAAGACTTTATGGCAGCTCTAATCAAAACAGGACACAAGCTGAGTGTTGATCAGCTGGTGGACAGACTACTGCGGTACATCTGTCCAACTCACTCAGCTATAGAGAGGGACAAACTACTTCAGCAGGATGGCGGATTCTCAGAGATTCTGTGAAGTGAAAGCCAGTAGACACACAGCAGCTCAAGGCCCACGGACAGCGGAAGGCTGTGGGAAAAGGCAAAGCCCATGACTGCTAGGAGGACCCAGGAGAGGAGCTCTGAGGGGGCGGACAGCCAGTTCAAGGACAGCAGGGAGTGCTGTCTACACATTTGTCAGAACTCACTGAACACACAGGGTGGGAGCCCTGGTGGTGCTGTAGTTAAGGCTTTTGGCTCCTACCCCAAAAGTCAGCCAACTGAATCCAACAGAGCTCAGCATGAGAAAGGAGATGCAATGCATCCACAGCCACTTACAGCCTCAGAAACCCTATGTCAGTTTGTCTCTACTCCGCTGAGTCACAAGGAATGAGAATTTAACTCAATGACAGTGTGATTTATAAAGGTGAATTTTCTTGAATGTAAATTTACCTCATTCCAAAAAAGAAAAAAAGCACGCAATTTTCACCAGATGGAGCCAAGCTGCCAACTTTACAAGCAAGGGATGGTCTAAATTTATAAGCCTGTCCAGCAGAGCCCTGTCAGGGTCCCAGTGGGCACTCCTGTGAGGAGAGCTGGTGTCAGGCCGCAGAGCCCAAGAGGGTGGCACTGCCACTACACCTAAGACTACATTAGCAAGTCCAGCAGGGCATGGCGGGAAACCAGAAGGCAAGGCAGGAACGTTTAGGAAGTAAAGGAAATGCTGTAGTCTGTGGCAGAACAAGAACGCTAATGAGAAGTGAATCCAAAATACATTAAATATGGAAAAGCAGGTACTTTTAGTGACCTCAGAAAGGAAGCAAAATGAAAATAAGAAAACTGTACAGCAAAACACTATTAGGGTCAGAAAACTTACAGTTGATTACTCAGGTTACATGGGGGAAATCTACTGTCAAGGACCTCTCCAAAGTGCTAAAGAGCAATAATATCAATTTAAAGATTAAGGTGCACCTGATCCAGGTCATGGTATTTTCAATTCCTTGCCTCTGTAAGTTGGACAATGAGTAGGGATGACAGAAGCAGCATCAATGCCTTTGAGTTGTGGTACTGGTGTAGAGTATTTATGTCCCACGGACTATAAAAAACCCCAAACAAATGTGTCTCGGAGGAAGTGCAGCCAAGGTAACCCTTAGAGGCAGGGATGGTGCAACTGCATCTCTCATACCTTGCACATGTTGTCAGGAGAAGCCAGTCCTTAGAAAGGAGATCATGCTGGGAAAGGTGGAGGATCAGAGAAAGAGAGGACCCTCAACAAGACACACAGTCAACAAGACACACTGTCAACAAGACACAC